ATGGGGTCCTGGGGGGGAGAAGTCCTGAACCCCCAAGATTGACATCAGCGCAGTGCATCCTAGCAGCAAACGCTCACCGACAGACTGCTATGAGCTGATTGTCTCTTCTGAGCTCACTCGGGAACCAGGAGTCTGTTTTCATTAAAAGGCGAATGCTGAATCGGCCCTGGAGGCATGTAAACCAGCTCCCCTGTCCGGGAGGCTTTTAAAATCTATCTTGTAAACTTGCCTTTCAGACCTGACACGAGGCAGCCTTGTCAGGAGAGAGACTGGAGAGGCGAAGTCAGCAGCCCGGCTCTTATCAATCAGGCCACGGGGAGGTTGCAGGGCAGGGGGTGGGGTGTGTGTGGGGTGGGCTCCAGGAGGCAGGGATTCAGCAGTCCTGTGGCAGGGTCAAGGGCACAGACCTGAGTGCCCAAGCACAAATGGGGGCATACTACAATCAAATCATCTCGCAGGGGCGGTGACATGACCACGTCCAGGCGGTAGCACCGTTATTTCCATTTTATACAAGAGAAACCTGGGGTTCTGGCACTTGCCCAGGGTCAATACATCTCATAAAGTCAGACAAGGGGACTTAAGTGCAGGTGGTCAGGCTCTGGAGCGGTCACCACCCCCCAGGTGGTCGAGGAGACCTCCCTCACCATCCTTAAGATTAGAGGAGAAATGAGAAGGGCATTTTGACCATGACCCAGAGCCTCCCTTGCCCCCTTCAGATTCACTGGGTGAGTCGCGGAAAGCTGCCCCCTGCCTCTGGACTTCAACACGGGGCTGGCTATTGAGCTTTCAGGACCGTCCAGCTCTGACGTCCATTTATTTGACGCCTGCTCACTTAGCATCTGTTCTGTGTCAAGGGCTTGGGGAGACAGCAGACAGACAGACAGAAATGGTCCCTGAGCTCTTGGAGTTTCCATCTGGGCCTGAGGGTAGGGTTGCGGGGGCAGTGGAAAAAGCGTCCGATCAGGAGTGCTGCCGAGCGTTGCGATGTGTTTTGAAGCAGACAAATCAGGAAGGTGAGAGAGTGATGTGGGTGAACAGAGCGGGTGACTTTGGAGAGTCACCAGCAGCTTGTCCAGAGGGAGCTAGTCTGTAAGCCCATTACGTGGATGCTGAGAGTGAGGCAGCCACACCGGGGGGAGCCGCAGAAGCAGAGGCCTCTAGGAGGGAGCAGGCATGGGGTTTTCAAGGACCGGAGTGAAGCTGGTATTACCTCAGGGGCCCGCGGGCCCTTCCTGCCCCCCTGCCTCCTGCTCTGGAGGCCAAGTTGCCAGCAGCCAAGGGAGAGGGAGAGAGAGACAGGGCCAGCTTTGAGAGGCCACAGACCTGTGGGCTGGCCCTTTAATAATCCCAGGTGGGCACTCAGAGCAATTGCAATTTGAAGATCCCCGCTTGCTTAGTACAAGTGGAAAATTACCTTCACATCTTTTCTGGATTGCTTTCTGATCCCGATTTCATCATTCAGATGTACAGCAGTGCATTTTCAACGGGTACAATTTAATTAGGCTCAATTTGTATAACTACATTATTAAAGACTCATTTGGAAAGAGCTTCATGTCCAAGGTGCACCGGGCTCCACCGTTTGCGTGAAAACACATTTGGAGGAGAGCCCTCTGACGACCCTGGCTCCTGGAGTGCTCTCCTTCTCCTCCTCCAGGGCACAGGCCCGGCTTGTCATTTCATTTCCATCTCATTTAATAGAATGTCTTTGGACATCTCTGGGTCTCTGAGCCTCTGACGGGTGTCTCCTGTAATTACACAGAGATTCCTCCTACGCTCCTTCAGTCGGTCATCAAACATTCATGAGCAACAAGACAGGAGCAAGGTCCTGAGCCAGGGAGCTGGGACAGGAATAAAAAGCTGCAGATACACACTTTAGAGTCTAGATGGGGGCGGGCAGTGCAGGGCCATCAGCCCTGTTAGTGGATGAGGACTGCAAGCCTGGACCCCTAAGTCAATGCCGGAGCCAGGATTTGAAACCAAGAATCTGGAGTGGTTCTGCTCCACCAAGATCTCTCTTCCTTTTGTGGGTGAGTGCAAGGAGATTTGCCATGCCTCCTGGCAGGTATCATAACTGGAGGCCCAGAAACCTCCAAGTTACTGAACTGGGGTGGGGGAGGAGGGGCAGGAGGAGGATATATTAGGCAGAGTTCTCCAGAGAAGCACCACCAGTAAGATGGATATATACAGATAGAAAGAGATTTTATTATAAGGAACTGATTCACACAATTATGGAAGCTGAGGTCCCAAGATCAACCATTGGCAAGCTAGAGACCCAGGAAAGCTAACAGTTAAGTCCTAATCTGAAAGTCAGCAGGCTTGAGGCCCAAGAAGAATTGACGGTCCAGTTTAAGTCTGAAGGCAGGAAAAGACTGATGTCCTGGCTTAAGTCAGCCAGGCAGGAGGAGCCCCCTGTATCCTTAGCCTTTTTGTTCTATTTAAGCCTTCAACTGATTGGATGAGGCCCACCCACATAGGGAGGGCAATCTGCTTTCCTTGGTCTACCCATTCAAACGTGAATCTCATTCAGAAACTCCCTTACATGCACACCCAGAATGTTTGACCATATGTCCAGGTCCCCGATGGCCCTGTGGAACTTATACATAGAATTAATGATCACAGAGAGAAGGAAGGAGGGAGGTTGAAAGGCATTGCTAGAGACCAAATGGTAGCCAGGAAGTAAAGGCAGCTCACATCTCATTTTATCTTCACAGCCACACTGTGGGATGGGGTCCCTATTCCCATTTTTGAGATGAGGACACTGAGGCTGAGATAAGGGACACACAGATGGTGTGTGTCAGGGCCACACACTCAGGGACACACAGATGGTGACTCAGTGCCTCCTTATCCCTGGGTAATACTTGTCTCCATGGAGAAAGACCGAGGATGCTGCCCATAGCACCATCTCCTAGGTCTCTTTTATGTTTTCTGTTGCCTCTTCTGCTCTTCCAGTGTGATCACAATCTGATTGAAGTGTTGAATGGTCCATCTCTATCTACTGCATGTACTGGGGGGTGGTGGCATCCCAGCACTGTGGTCAATGGAGTCTCCAAGGTCTCCCACAGTCCTCAGCTTCAAAGATGCTAAGAGTCCTAGAGCAGGATGCAGGACCCCCGCTCTGCCCTCCAACTCTGAGTTGCTGTGTGGGCTTGGATAAACTTCTTCTGATCTATGGGCCTCAGGCTCCTCATCTGGAGAACCGAGGAGGACTGGAAGATGTCTAAGGTCTAGCAGAATCTGGAGAACCGAGGAGGACTGGAAGATGTCTAAGGTCTAGCAGAATCTTTGGAGGGGTTCCATGGCTCTCCTTTACTGGAAACCCTTCATCCACTAGAACCCCACCCCCCAAGTCCTATAGGACTGTTCTGGCAAGGCCTCCATCCCAGGGGCTTGACACTTCTCACTGAAGGAAATTGCACCTGGGATCCCTGGCCCCTACAGGGCTGTCAGTGGGGCCACGGGCAGGGAGGGATGAGCTCAGATGCTGTGAGGATACGGCCTCTCATGCAGCCCTGGTTCCAGTTCCCACACTGTCATCAGCCTGGTAATGTGCACGGCCTTGGACAGTGCAAGTCCAGGAGCAAAGGTCTCTCCTCTCTTGCCCACCCCTGAAGAACATTCCTATAGGAAGAAAACCATGTGTTTCTGCTTTTCTCTTACACTGCAATCACACCCACAACACTTCTGACACCAGATGTGTAGGTATTTTCCCCCACAACAAGCAGAGCAGCCAAGTGTCCTACAACTTAATTCTGATGCTATCAGTCTGGAGATAACCCCAGATCCCACAGGTTAAGGGCTCCATCCCACGAGATTCATCCTAACTACCTCTCACTTTAGATGCCAATGCAAGTAGTAGGTTCTTCAGGTTATTTACACCTTCTGTCCAACTTGACTACAAACTGGAGGTTCTCATGGTCCACTCCCTTCAAATTTCATTATTTGCTAGAACAGATCCCAGAACTCAGGGAAGCTCTTGCTTACATTTACTAGTTTATTATATGATAATGGATATGATAAGGGATCCAGATAAACTGCTGGATGAAGAAATGCACTGGGTGAGGTCTGGAAGGGCCCTGAATGCAGGAAGGTCTGTCCCCATGGAGTTGGAATGTGTTACCCTCCTGGTACATGGATTTGCTCACCACCTGGGGAATTCTACAAACATCATTCTTTGGGGATTTTTATGGATACTTCATCATGTGAGCTTGATCATTTATTATATCCATTTCTAATCCCACTTCCCTTCATGGAAAATGGAGGGTGGGGATGAAAGTCCCAAATTTTTAATGATGGTTTGACCTTTCTGGTGACCAGTCCCACTCAGGAGCTATCCAGGAGCCCATCCAGAGTCACCTCATTAGAATAAAAGAAAATCCTATCGCCCAGGATTTAGGAACCCTGTGTCAAGGACTGGGTTCACAGACCAACTTCTATCAGAGAAGAACTTCTTCTTCTATTAGAGAAAAACAGGTGCTTCCAATACTCCTATCTCTTAGAAAATTACTAGAGCCCTATTTCAGGACCTGGGACAGAAACAAATATATATGTTTCTTACTATTTCATAAGTCCTCAATTGCTCATCCCCAAGTCACATCCAGGGCTGGTCGCTCAGTAAATGTCTGCTGTCTGATGGGCTGAATGCTTGAGTGCTTTCATGGTATGAGACCCTGGGGATAAGGAAGAAAATAAATAATAAACAATAATAAATAATGCAGAAACCACCCATGTTCTCTGAGCATTATCAGCTTCTGGCCATCCTGCAGACCACATGGCAAAAAAAAAAAAAAATAGTGCATCCCACTACTGAGAAACAGGATGAACCAGTGAGACTGTCGAGTATGGGACACACACCCTTCTCCCGTTTCCTGCCTCCCTCTCGCCTGACTCTCGCTGTGGGGTTAACTAGAGAAAGAACTCAAGAGGACTCCAGCTCTGATTTCCCCACCAGAACCCCTCCCCCATGCTGACATCCCCATGTTTGCTATGGAAACTACTGTGGCATCATCAATGCGGGCTGAGGATTTCAGGTGGGCTAATCAGCCAGAGGAATCGACCCGGACACTTACAGCCTCTGGGTTATTCCCATGTAAATACTCTCAGCGTAGAGAACAGAAGAAAAGACAATTAGTCCAGGCTGTCAGGAACTCCACGCAAGCTGCTTCGTTCCTGAAAATGGTCCTCATTTTTTCCCCAAGATCTTCCCTGGCTGTGGCACATCTCACACGCTGCAGGGAGCTGTCAGCTCTGTGGAGCGACTAGAGGAATTAAAAATAAAAATTGACTTTCAGAGAACAAAATCAGACCTGACAACTCAAGTCACTCAAACCAGCCGTGGTTAGAAGATTGCAAATATGTTTGTAAAAAGGAGGTGGCACAGACTGGTGGGGGAGAGATTCTCTCAGGAAGGAACTCTGGGAACGTGTTCATCTCCTGAGATGAGGTTTCCAGCAACCGCCCTGTCCCACTGTGTTCGTTGCTTCACTTTCCATCCTCATCGCGGTCTGGGCTCATGTCCGGTAAGCGGCAGGTCTTTCACTAATTACAGTCTATCCTCATTATTAGCAGACTCTGCATCTGTGAATTCACCTCCTTGCTAAAACTTAACCTCAAATCAATAGTCATTCATGGACATGCACAGAGTCATGGAAAATTCAAGTCATTCAACACCCATGTTCTCACCGGTGGGGCAACAATGAAATGCTCTGCCTTCTCGTGTCAGCTCTCGTGATGTTAACAAGTATCCTTTCGTGGTCTACTTTCTGCCATGTTCATCATATTTCTGTGCAGTTTGTTGATGATTTTGCCGTTTAAAATGGCCCCCAAGCACAATGTCTAGTTGTACTCCTGAGTACATGAAGGCCATGGTGTGCCTTAATGAGAAAATGTTTGTGTTATACAGGTTTCACACTGTTCATGGGATTCTCAAGGCAAGAATACTGGAGTGGTTTCCCATTCCCTTCTCCAGGGGACCATGTTTTGTCAGAATGCTCCACCATGACCCGTCCGTCTTGGGCGGCCCTACACAGCATGTCTCATAGTTTCATTGAGTTAGACAAGGCTGTGGTCCATGTGATCAGTTTGATTAGTTTTCTGTGATTGTGGTTTTCATTCTATCCTCCTTCTGATGGATAATAATAAAAGGCTTATGGAAGCTTCTTGATGGGAGAGATTGACTGAGGGGGAAACTGGGTCTTGTTCTGATGGGCAGGGCCACGTTCTGTAAATCTTTAACCTAATTTTCTGTTGATGGGTGGGATTATGTTCCTNCCAGTTGGAGTGTGAAGGTCTGAGAACCAGGACCTCTAAGGGCAGAAGGCAATCAGTGTTCCAACCCAGCAGTCAGGTAGAGAGTGAATTTAACTTTCTTCCACCTTTTTATTCTATCCAGGCCCTCAATGAATTGGATGATGCCCACCCATGTTGGAAAGGACCAACTGCTTTCCTCAATCCGCCAGTTCGAATGCTCGTCTCTTCCAGAAATGCCATCACAGACATGCCCATATATAACGTTTCACCAGCTCTCTGGACGTTCCATGGCTCAGTCAAGTTGACGTGTAAAATACACCATTGCACAAAATGAATAAAATGTATAGTATGTTATGTGCTAAGGATTAAAAAAAAATGAAGCAATAAAGAGGGCTAGAAATTATCAGGAGCGGAGAGGAATAGACATGTTAGATAGTGTAGTTCTATCTTCTCACTGAGAAGGTGGCTTCTGAGAAAAGGAAGTGAAGGAGCTTGGCAGGTAGTTTCTGGGAGAAAGGCCACCCAGGGAGAGAAGTAGGAAGTGCAACCTCTCTGAGGCAGAAACATGCCTGAGTGTTCCTGAGCAGCGGGAGGCCATGTGACTGCATTGGTGTGAACCAGCAGAGAGTGGTAGGAGGTAATGAAACTGTGAGGCTGTGTAGAATTGACTTTTATCAGAGTCTCGGTTTATTCCAGGAATGCAAGGTTGGTTTAATCTTTATAACATATAATATTATAATTTATAATATTAAGAGAGCAAAGAAAAGGAAACTACTGGATCATCTCAATAGATATAGCCCTGGAATAAACCCAACTGGATTGTGAGGTATTGTCCATTTTATGTAACATGTGATGTGATGTTTTATCCATTATGCAATGTTTTAATTGAGTGTGGGTATCAGAGTCATGCTGACATCATGAAACAGGCTGAGAAGTGCTCTCTCTCTCTCTCTCTTTCTCTCTCTCTCCCTTTTTTTCTAGTCCCGAGAAGAGTTTGTACTTCTTCCTTAAATGCTTGGAAGAATTCCACAGTGGTGCCATATGAGCATGTACTTTCATTGGTGAAGAAAATGTTTAATTATGGATTCAGTCATGAATAGCTATGGTACTATGTAAATTTTCTGTTTCTTTTTGTGTCCATTTTGGTAAGCTGTGTTTTTCATGGAATTGTTCATTTCTTTAGAATTTTTATATTCATTGGTGTAAAACTGGTCAAGATATCCTCATCTATTTTTAAGTGTCTAAGATGTGTAGTGATGTCCCTTTTTCATTTCAGATAGCAGTATTTGTGTTTTCTCTCTTCCTCTTATTCAGTGTTGCTAGGGGGTTATCAATTTTAATAATACTTTCAAGAACTAATTTTTCCTCGGCATTCTAGTAGGCACAGGGCATAAAAGTTGAGCATAACATTGCCACTGTTCCCATGTATTTTACATATTGGAGGAGATGAAGAGGCCATAAACAAGCCAACATAATTTTATTTGTTAACATAATTTTAAAAAGTAATTTCAGCAAGCAGTAGGTTTTAGTAAATTGCAATAAGCAGTAAGAAGGAAACAGAGCAATCCAGAGCAATTTTTGATTGTCTGCTTACTCTAAGATGGAGACCTTTGAACAGAGACTTGAAACTCAAGAGTCAACCATGTAGAAATCTGTGAAAGGAGAGTTCTAGGCAGAGAGGAAACAGCATGTTCAAAGACTTGAGGTGGGAGTCACATTCAGCAGTGTGTTCAGGAGACAAACAAAGGCTGAGGTGGATGAAATGTCACAGGTAAGGGAGAGAGGATGGCACGAGATGAGATCTGAGAGGTGGGCAGGGTGGAGCCAGACAATGTATGGCATGTAGTCCATGGTATAGAGTTTGTACTTTATTTTAAATATTAAATATAATAACAAATGAATGTCAGCTATTGCCACAATATTGCTCGGTAACAAACAACCTCTCAAATCTCAGTGACTCTCAACAAGTTAATTTTCTATCTCACTGAGTCTACAAAGTCAGCTGGCGTGGCTGTAGTTCACACAAATGATCTTATTAGGTCTTTTCCATACATTTCTCCTTCTGGGACTGAAGACAGTAGATACATAAAAGAGCAAGCCAAACCATACAAGCTCATTTAAAGCCATTGCTTTCATTATGTCCATTAACATCCCATTGGTGAAAGCAAGGGACTGGACCACGCCCATCATCAACAGGACAAGGAAATACACTATGTATGCTCCAACGAGAGGCACTGGAAATCCATATTACAAAGGTGTCCGGTTCTCACAGGGAGGAAAAGATGGTGAAAGATAATCCAGTTTACAAATAGCTTCTCTCTGAGACCACTGCGGCTCTTGTATGCAGGATGGATGGAAGGGGGGGTGTTGAGAGTGGAGGTGGAGACCTGGTCCAAGTGAGAGAGAACAGTAGCTTGAATTCAGGGATCACACTAAAAGGAGAGAGAAACAGACAGATGTGGAGTATATTTTAGAAATATACTTCACAGGCGTTGATGGCGGATTAGATAAGAGTAACTATTACACTCTCTTTGGTCACTTCATTCCAGACACGCTAGCCCGCATGCTGTTCCTCAAACATTCCAGGCAGCCTGCGATTCCAGAATCTTTGCCATTGCTATTTCCTATATCTGCAATATTATTCTCTTAGACACTAGTTTGACACACTTCTTCTATTAATTCCAGCCCTGCTCAAGTGTCAGCTCCTGGGTGAGGCATCTCTGACCACTCTATTAAGAACAATAGTGCCCCCCCTTACTTCGATCTAATTTTTTACACTTTTATTATTTTTTATTTAATTTTTTGCCTGTACCATGCACCATGCCTTAGTTCCGCACTGTGGCTGCTGCTGCTGCTAAGTCATGTCAGTCATGTCAGTGTCTGACTCTGTGTGACCCCATAGACGGCAGCCCACCAGTAATCAAACCTGTGACCCTTGCAATGGAAGCACGGAGTCTTAACCACTGCACTGCCAGGGAAGTCCTCGTTGATCTGTTTTTTTCCCATAGCTCTTATTGTCAACTGACAGATGCTGATTTGTTTATCAGTTTCCTCTTTCTCTCTCTCTCCCTCATTACAATGGAAATTCTATTCATGCAGAGATTTTTTTTGTATGTTCTTTTCATTGCTGTATACTCTCATCTTGGGTACTGCCTGGCACATACTAGGTACTCAGTAAATCTTGGCTAAATTGATAAATGAATTCCCACAGGCCAACCCTATGGGGACCATTCACCTTGGATCTGGTCTTCAGACATGAGAGTCTGACCCAATCCTCACTGAGAAGACCCCTGTCTCCCCAGGCAGCTGACATAAAAGGGCAAGGGGCTGTCTGATGACTGGAACTGTAGTGAGGCCTTCCTGCCTGTTAAGAGTCGGTAGAAAGCCCACCTGGGGAAATCCTGGAAAATTGATTTCCATGGTTCTATCTACCCAGAGGCCTGTGGTCCTGAATTTTTTCTTCCTACTGCAGCTAAAGCAGACAGAGAACTCTGGACCCTAGGCTGGCATCTCTCCTGAGACCAGGGAAACTGGGATATGGACTAAGGTGAGAGTGAGGGCGTCTGAGACCTCCCTTGGTGCCCCCTGCTCCCCAGATTCAGCTCCTGGAACAGAGGCTGGTATCTGCAGGCAGATCTGGGGGAACAGAAGAGAAAGACTCTTCAAACATTCGTTGGTAGTGATGAGCAAACTGGGGCACTGGTTGCTTTTTCAAGAGAATAAACAGCTTCTGATTGAAATGGGAAACTAATCTGTGTTATGCGTGATGCGTGGGTACTTGGTTGCTTCAGTCGAGTCCGACTCTTTGTGGCACCACGGACTGTAGCCCGCCAGGCTTCTCTGTCCATGGGGATTCTCCAGGCAAGGATACTGGAGTGTGTTGCCATGCCCTCCTCCAGGGGAACTTTCCAACCCAAAGATCGAACCCACATCTCTTGTGTCTCCTGCATTGGCAGGCGGTTTCTTTACCACTGTTACACACAGGCTTTTCACAACACGATGTCTGCCATGAAGGGAGCTTATAGGGAAACCTATAGTTTGTGTACGTCATGGAGAAAGGAGGAGGCAGCTAGGGTGTATGCGATAGGAGGAGCGCTCTGGTGCAGGGTATGTGTGACCAGGACTGTTGTTATGCTCCCAGAGGGGCAGACGTTAGCTAAGCACTCTGCTGGGAGACTCTATAAGGCAGCAGTCCCCAACCTTTCTGGCACCAGGGACCAGTTTCATGGAAGATCAGAGGATGGGGGATGTGAAGGTCGGGGGTGGAGATGCGGAGGTGGGGATACAGGATGGTTTAGGGATGATTCAAGTGCATTATTTCTAATCTAATGCTGCCACTGATCTGACAGGAGGTACTTGTCCATGGCCTGGAGGTTGCAAAGAAAGTGAAAGTGAAGGTTGCTCAGTCATGTCCGACTCTTTGCGACCCCATGGGCTATACAGTCCATGGAATTCTCCATGGACTGTACTGGAGTGGGTAGCCTTTCCCTTCTCCAGGGGATCTTCTCAACCCAGGGATTGAACCCAGGTCTCCTGCATTGCAGGCGAATTCTTTACCAGCTGAGCCACAAGGGAAGCCCAAGAATACTGGAGTGGGTAGCCTGTCCCTTCTCCAGGGGGTATGTTCCCTTCCCAAGAATCGAACCAGGGTCTCCTGCATTGCAGGCAGATTCTTTACCAACTGAGCTATGAGGGAAGCCTCATAGCTGGAGGTTGGGGACCCCCACTATAAGGGACACGTGCCATAGAGGGAGGCCTTGTAGAGTTCACGCACTGCTGTGTATTTTCCAGAAATACTCTAACCTGCCTTGTGAATGGTGAGATGTACACTTGGAAGACAAACAACAGGAGAGCAAGCTCAGGGGTTCAGCCATACGTCGCACCCCGTGGGAGGGATGGCAGCTGAGTGTGTATAGATGGGCTGACTGCTTAGGAAACTGTTGTCACCACTGAGTGACACCTGCCCAGGTGACATCACTGGGCATCCACAGGCCTGCTTCACCGCCGTGCCCTGCACGCGGGCATTTGGCTGAGAGGTTACTATAGGGAGTGACATCTGCTTCCCGAGCTGTGTGCTCTGGTACCATTCACTGATTCATCTGCCCTCTTTTCCTAACTGGGCAACCCAGACGAGGTAGGTGACTGGTCTAACCGATCCACCCAAAGGGATTCCTATTTTATCTACTTTGCACCAAGAAGTCACAGCACTAACGGCAGTCTGATGTTTGGGACCCTCCTCCCCTCCCCACGTGACCTGCCTTGTCTCCCGGCACTATCCAACCCCATGGCCCCCTTCCCCCACCCCCACGCTCCAGCCAATAGGTGCCTTTGTCACCTTCTCTACATGACTCCTAGAGAGAGCTTCCTGACACTCCCGGCCCCATCCACCTCCCTGGTCACTGTCACCTCCTCTCAAATGAGTGTGTTAGACTAGAAAGTCTCTAAGTTTTCTTCCAGATTCACCATTATAGGATTTTTTAAATCTGTATTGTTGAGGTTTAGTGAGCAAACAAAATTCACCAGTTTTAAGGGTCCAGTTCAATGAGTTTTGACAGAGTCATGCAGCTACTACCAACGGTTAGGCCATTTCCTTCACCTCCACGTGTCCCCTCTTGCTCCTTTGCAGCCAGTCCCCTGCCCTCTCCAGCCCGTGGCACGCACTGATCTCTCTCTACAGTTTTAACTTCTCCTAAATACCATATAAATGAAAGCAGTCTGTACCCTTTTGTGATTGGCTTCTTAGCATAACACGTTTGAGATTTCATCTATGTTCTGGATATATCAGTAATTCATTCAATTTTACTGTTAAGTAGCACCCCATTTGGGCTTATCCAATGGCTCAGCACATAAGGAATCCTCCTGCAATTCAGGAGACACAGGAGATACAGGTTCAATCCCTAGGTCGGGAAGGTCCCCTGGATGAAGAAATGGCAACCCACTCCAGTATTCTTGCCTGGAAAATCCCATGGACAGAGGAGCCTAGTGGGCTACAGTCCATGGGGTCGCAAAGAGTCAGACACGAGTGAATGACTAAGCACAGTACAGCATCCGATTTTATGGATATACTATGCTTTATTTAGCCGCCAGGGAAGCCCATCCATTCCCTATTAGTGGTTATTTGTGTTGTTTCCAGTTGGGGCTAATATAAATAAAGCTTCTATTAATATTTGCATACAAGTGTTTCTGTGAGCATATGTTTTCATTTCTCTAATTTCATTGATTTCTGCTCTTATCCTTAGCATTTTCTAGCATCTGCCTATTTGCATTTAGTTTGTGCTTTTTTCTTTTCTAGCTTCTTAAGTTGGAAGCTCAGATCTTTGATTTGAGATCTTTCGTGTTTTGTAACATAGTCATTTATTGCTATAAATGTCACTCTACACATTACTTTAGCTATATTCCACAAATACTGACATAATATCAATGGAAATTTTCATTTCCATTCAGCTTTAAATATTTTTATATTTGCTTGTGATTTCTTCTTTGATCCATGAAGTATTTAAAAATGTGTTTTTGAATTTTAAAACATTTGAAGATGTGGTCAGGGAGAATATTTTACATGATCTAAATCTTCTTAATTGTACTGAGACCTGTGTTATGACCTAATATATGGTTGATCTTGGTGAGCATTCCATGCTCAGTTGAAAGGAATGTGTGTTCTGGTGGTGCTGGGTGGTGTATTTTATGAAGGTCAATTAAGTCAATTTTAATAGTGTTGTTCAGATCTTCTATTTCTTGCTGACTTTGTGTTTACTTGTTCTATCAATTACTAAGTGTTATTGTTTAGTTGCTAAATTGAGAGTACTGAAATCTCTAGCTATAAATGTAGCTTTTATTCTGTCCGTTTTCAATTCTATTAATTTTATTTTCATGTATTTTGAGACTCTCTTATATGCACATACAGGATTACTGTGTCCTCCTGATGAACTGCCTTGTTAACATTCCTTGCTCTGAAGTCTACCTTGTCTAACATTGATATATTTGCTCCAACTTTCTTGTGATGTTTGTGTGTGTGATTCACCCCAATCTTTTCCCACTCTTCTACTTTTAATCTGAGTATATTCAAAATAGTTTCTTGAAGGCAGCATAAAACCAAGTCTTGACTTTTTTTTTTTTTTTTTGGACAAAATGATCATCTCTCTATTTAATTGGGTCATTTAGCCCATATACAGTTAGTGTAATTACCAATGTGTTTGAATTTAAATCTACCAGTTTGCTATTTGTGTTCTATTTCACTACTCTTCTCTCTTCCTCTGGGTCTCTAATTCACAAAAGTTAGACTGTTTAATATCCTTCCATAGGTCACCAGTGTACCCTCTCCCTCTCTCTCTGCTTCTCTTTCTTAAATCTTTTACAAATTTGTGCTATATTTAAGCTTGTATTGCTTTATCTTCAATTTCACTAATTTTTTTTCTTCTGCCGCTTCCAACCTGTTCTTAGTTCCATTCAGTGTATTTTTTAATCCATATATTGCATTTTTTATCTTTAGAAGCTTCATTTGTGTCTTTTTCTATTTTTCATTTCTCATCCTATATTCATGTTTTCCTCTATCTTCTTGAATAAATGGAGCATATTTTAATACCTGTTTTAACATCACTACTTGCTAATTTCATTATCTTTGTCATTTTCAGATCTGTTTCAGTTGGTTAATTTTTCTCTGGGGCAATGGGTCATACTGGATGTTGAACATAGTCAATTTTATGTTTAGGGGTGCTAGATTTTATTGTATTTCTTTAAAGAACATTGAGGCATGCAGTTAAGGCATTTGAGATCAGTTTGATCCTTCTGAGTCTTGCTTTTAAAGCCTTGTTGGGGTGAGTCCAAGGAAGTGTTTAGTCTAAGGCTAATTTAGTTCTATTATTAAGTATTTCTGAAGACTCTATCTGATGCTCTATGTATTTTGAGGTCTAGCCACTCTGGAGAGTGGGGATATAAACTATTCCCAGCCTTCTCTGAGCTCTGGGAATTTCTCTGCCTACTGCTTTCCAGGGGTACTTATCCCAACTGCATGGGGCTTCACCCCACACATTCACAAACCAGTGTTCTGCCAAATATTGGGGCCATACCTCTACAGACAGCTGCAGCTCCCTCTCTCCCCCTCCCCCCACCCCACTCCCTCCTACTTTTTGCTCTCTGCGTTAAGTCCTGGAAGTGTAATGGCTTCAGCTTCCACAAACTCCAATCTCTGTCTCCTCTAGTCAGCATCAACAGCTGGGGTCCATTCGGATTCCTTCCTTCTTGTTCTGCTCCCTGAAAAGTGCCTCCAAGCATTTTGCTGGGCTATCAATGGGCTCACCTCATTTGTTTCCCTACCCTCAAGGTTCACGGTCCTACATCATCTTCTGTCCAATGTTCAAAAACCAGTTGTTTCATATATTTTGTCCAGTTTTTTTTTTTTTAATGTGTTCAACCTGAGGGCAGTTCTGAATCTCTTACTCTCTCTTGGCTAAAAGTAGAAGTCTCCCACCATCCAAGGATTTTAGAATTAAGGAACCAAGTAAGCCTAAGAGAGATTGCCATCAGCACAAGGACTACAGTTCTTGGAGAGGTGGCGAGGATGCTGCTGTTCTCTGCCTCTACCTTGCCCTGACATTAGGAAGGGAAAGCAGGGTGGATGATACCTGTGCAATCAGGGATGCTCAGGAAGCTTCAAGGACTCCGAGCAAGAAGACGCTTAAATGACAGGACATGTAAGAAGAACGCTAAGACTGCAGGGCTGGCGATGTATTCAGCAATGCTCCTGAGCTGTGGATTGCTAGGATCTGCCTGAAAGGGGTGGGGTGGGGGGGGAGCCATCAATAAGAAAAGAAATTAAAAGAGAAAACAGAAATATGATAATGAAACCCCTTTCGGTTTGGGACTGTGGAGGTTTTTTTCTTTTCCTTAAACAAGTGGCAATGAAACCTTTATTGCACTGTCTCCCAGACTCTTTTTTTGTGCTACATAATGTGTTTGCAAGTTTCTGTCTAACACAGTTTCCCTGTGCTTTGTCCTATGTGAAGTCACTGGTTTCCGTGGTAACTAGACTGCCAGCTCAGGGAGTCAAATAGAGAGTCAGAGGCTCTGCAGGGCATCTAGAGGGGCTAACAGAGGCCTGGACCACAGGTAAGAAAGAGACATGGGTGCGATGATACATACAAGGGTCTTTGCAAGAGCTGAAGATCCTCAACCAGCTTTGCACCCGAAGTAGCTGCCCTATGCATCCACAGCCTGGTGCTCCTGGGAGGACACTGCCTGCTACTGAGTTCCTTCAGCTGTTGACATTTATGGGTCAGTCTCTGGGCCGAGTGCCAGGCCCTAGACCCCAAAGGGGCAAGCAGTCTCTCTAAAGAGAGAAACCACAATAAAGGGTGTTCGGAAGGAACATTGATTGAGTGCCATCCATATGCCAGGCACTGATATGAAAATTACATACCTTAAATTTTAATCCTCACAAAAACCCAGTGATTTCATTTTATCCAAGACAACCAGAAAAGGTAAAGGCAGGGTTCATACCTGGAGTGAATTCTTCTCAACCTCCCCTGACCTGCACAACCCCACCTGCATCAGTCTCTCTGCTCTAAGACTTCCGTCCAGATGCCTCAGAGTTTAGAGACAGCCTCTCTGTCTCTCATCCTCTCTTTTTTCTCTCTCACTCTTTTCCCTGCTCTTTTCCCCCCAACGCCGTCCCTCTCTGGCCTTGTAAATATCTCTGCCTGGAGTCTCTTCCCTCACTCTGGAGAGAAATGTATCACGGAACTCACCCCCGGAACATGAGTTTAAGACAGGCACAAGTTCGAGGGCAGCCTCTGAGCCCCTGCCATGCGGCAACGGCATTCATGAAGGGTCTCATCTCCTCTGATCCTCCAACATCCCACCCGCTTTGTGCAGACAGCGGGAGGAAAGAGCTGACGTCCTAAAACGTGGCGGGAAGTCTCCCCAGGCCGAGCGTTCCCTGGACCGCTGGGAGCCAGTGAGAGCAACACCTTCAACCAGACGCCTCTTCCTGGATGGCCTCGGAGGCTGCACCCACAGGGGCTCAACCAAGGGACACTCAAGCTTACAAAATCAAACGCTGCCTTGTCACCAAGGTCAAGGTGAGTTAACATAGCCAACTGAGGCTCAATTCATCAGCACGTTCTGCCTCTGCTGAGACTTCACCCACCAGACAGGCTGTTGAGTGCAGACCTTCCCTCCCCGCATCCCTTCCCCTAGGCTGACTTTGCTTGGGACCCACACAGCATCAGAGGCTGCAGAGATCTTCAATCACCCTGTCTGATCCTTGTTTTAGAAATGTGAATCCAAGGCTAAGAGAGGGGTAGTGATGACCAATGAATTGATCACACAGCAACTCAGAAACAGGGCCAGGACTCTAACCCAGGTCTCACTATGGGTCCCGTGGCCTTTGGGGCTGGCATCACCCCAGGCCAAGACACTGGCCATCCTGTGAAAGGACAAGTCCCTTGTCCTGGATGGCCTGGAGACTCTGGGAGAACAGCCTTTATACACAAATCTGGGGTGGAAATGCCTCCCAAGGGCCTGGCAAAGGATGTGTAAGATCTGAGAGGTATGGCCCCGAGTGGATTGAAGGCCAAGGGGTAGGAGGCCTTCTGGGCACCAGGTGAAAAAGGATCATCTCCGGCCCTGGCTCTTGCCCTGGGAGTGACGGGCGGGCAGTATGACTAGTGACCTCGGACAAAGCTCCTGACCCTCGTTACCTCCCTTGCGATACAGGAGAGCAGCGGCACGGGGGGCTGTGAGTACAGACCTGGATGACGTTATTCAGGAAAGTCTCCTTACAGGGCCTGGCACATGTCTGGCCTTGATAATAACAGCCGAAACACACACCCTCCCCTCACAAGCCCTGCAGTTTCACATGGACGCTCCCCGTGGCTCACAGCGCTCTCAGCAGCCCCCAGACAGCTGCCTTCTGCGGGTCTCTCCCTTGCAAGCGGTCCCGGGGTCTCTCCCGACCCCAGCAGCTTTGTGTCCCAGACGGCTGCCATCATTCATGTACCAGAACCCTGGTGCCACTGTTACCCAAGCCAGCTGACCTGGAAACTTGCCGTTTGGGCAAGGCTCAGCGGGGATCTGGGTCCCTCGGACAGGCCACGAGACACTGAACATCTCTGGGCTACAGTGTTCTGTTCCCTCATCTGAAAATGATGATGATCAACAGTACATGGTGTCCACACACACACACACACACACACACACACACACGAGAATCTTCACTCACCTTGACTGAGGTCCAGTTTGTATACAACAGAACTCACTCATGTTTTCTTTAATTTTTTTTTCGGCTTTGCTGAGGTATAATTGACAAATAAAACTGTGAAGATATTTAAAGTGCACATGGTGTTTTGATATGGATACCTGGTGAAAGGGTTCTCTGCATCAAGTTAATTATCACAGCCATCACCTCACATATTTGTCTTTTTTTTTTTCTCTTTTTGGTGAGAACATAGACCTTTTAAGTTCTTCTCACTTAGCAAATTTTAATTATACAATACAGGGTTATCAACCACATTCACCATGATATACATTAGATCCTCAGATCTTATTCATCTTGTAACTGAAAGTTATTGTAACTTTATAACTCATCTTATAACTAAACTCATATTATGTTGTATAATGTATAATATATATTATATCATATTATTATATTGCTATATATCAACTTATATATGTTATAAGATATAAACTCATATCTCATCTTATCACTAAAAGTTATGCCTTTTTCCTACCCCCTTCCTCTTTCCCCCAGCCCCTGACAACCACCGTTCTGCTCTGTTCCATTGAATCCGACTTCTTTTTCAGGGAGACTCCACATGTAAGTGATAGCATGCAGCATTTACCTTTGTCTGGCTGAATAGCATAAAGACTGAGATGCATTCACATTGTAGAAAATGATAGGACTTCCTTCTTTCTCATGGCTGAACAGTATCCCACTGTGTGTGTGTGTGTGTGTGTATATATATACATATATATATATATGTATATGTATATGTATATATACACCAAACTTTATTTATCCATTCATCTGTTGACAGACTTTAGGTTATTTCTAAATCATGGCTATTGTGAATACGGCTGCAGTGGACATCAGGGGACAGATGTCTCTTCAATACCCTGTTTTCATTTCCTTTGGACAGACACCCAGAAGTGGAATCATTCCATCATAGGGTAGTCTTATTCCTAGTTTTTTGGGGAACCTCCATACTGTTTTCCACCCACAGTGGCTACACCAATTTCTATTCTCAGCAACAGTGCACAAGGGTTCCCTTTTCTCCACGTCCTCAAGTATACGCGCTACCTCTTGTCTTTTTGGTGACAGCCATCCTAATAGAGGAAAAGCAATATCTCATTGTGATTTTCATGTGCATTTCCTTGATGATTAATGGGAGCAATCTACAGATTATATGCAATTTTATCAAAATTCTAATGGCATTTTTTCACAGAAATAGGAAAAAACTCTAAAATTTGCATGGAATCACAAAAGATCTCAAATAACCAAAGCAACTTTGAGAAAAAAGAACAAAGCTGGAAGCATCACACTGTTGATTTCAAAGTATATTCTGAAGCTATAGTAATCAAAAAAGAAGTCTGGTATTGTCAGAAAATGAGACATATAAATCAATGAAACAGAATAGACAGCCCAGAAAGAAACCCAGGCAGTTTATTTATATGTGGTCAATATTTATGACAAAGAAGAAAAGAATATACCACAGTGCTGGGAAAACCAGATGTCCACATGTAAAAGAAGCTGAAATCCTGTTTTATGCCACACACCCAAAAATTAACTTCAAATGGATGAAAGACTTAAGTCTAAGACCTAACACCATAAAAATTCCAGAAGAAAACATAGGGAATAAGCTCCTTGACATCAGTCTTGACAATAGTTTTTTGGATTTGATACCAAAAACAAATGCAATTAAAGCAAAAATAAACAAAGTGGGACTATATCAAGTTAAAAAGCTTCTGCGCAGCAAAGGAAACCATCAACAAAGTTAAAAAGCAGTCTATGGAATAGAAGAAAAATTTACAAATTCTGATAAGGGCCTAGTACCCAATATGCATGCATGCTCCGTGGCTTCCGTCGTGTCTGGCTCCGTGCAACTCCATGGACTGTAGCCTCCCAGGCTCCTCTGTCCATGGGATTCTCCAGGCAAGCACCGTTGCCATGCCCTCTTCCAGGGCGATCTCCCCAACCCAGGGATTGAACCCATGTGTCTTATGTCTCCTGCATTGGCAAGTGGGTTCTTTACCACTAGCGTCACCTAATATCCAGGAAGACCTAACATCCAATATATTGATATGTAAAGAACACATACGAATCAGTAGACACAGCAATCCATTTAAAAAGGGACAGAGAAACTGAACATGTTTTTTTCAAAGAAGACATACAAATAGCCAACAGGTAAATGGAAATGTGTATCACCAATCAGCAGGGAAAATGCACTTTTTAAAAACAGCTTTATTGAGACATAATTTACATACTGCACTGTACCATTCACCCGTTTAAAGTGTACAATCCAGTGTTTTTCAGTGTATTTATATAGTTGTACGATCATCACCACAATCAATTTTAGGACATTTCATTGCTCCCTTTCCCCACAAAGCCCACCCAGATTAGCAGTCACTCCCCACTTCTTCCAAGGCCCTCTTCTCATACCTAGACAACCACTAACCTGCTTCTTGCTTCCATAGGTTTGCCTGTTCTGGGCATATACATGGAATAACATAATATGTAACATTTGTCTGCCTTCCCTCACTTGGCATGTGTTTTAAGGTCCATCTATTTTGTAGCATGTATCAGTACTTCATTCTTTACTGGCAAAGAATACTCCATTGTATAGCTGTACCATGTCTGTTTTGTCATTCATTCTTTGAGTTGTTTCCACGTTTTGGTTATTATGAATAAAGCTGTTACAAACTTGTGTGTGTGTTTTTGTACGGACATATGTTTCAAAGTCTTGGGTATAAACCTAGAGGGAGAATTGTTATGTTATACATTAACCCCTATGTTTAACCTTTTAGGAACTGCCAAACAACTTTCCAAAACAGTTGAATTGCTTCACTGTCCCACCAGAAATGCAGGAATATTCCAATTTCTCCACATCCTCACCAACCCTTATTATTATGAGTCTTTTAAATTATACTCATCCTAGTGGGTATGATGTGGCATCTGATTGTGCTTTTGATTTACATTTCCCTAATCCCATGGTTGGGCTTCCCAGGTGGTTCTAGTGGTAAAGAACCCGTCTGCCAATGCAGGAGACATAAGAGACTTGGGTTCGATCCCTAGATTGGGAAGATCCCTAGAGGAGGGCATGGCAGCCCACTCCAGTACTCTTGCCTGGAGAATCCATGGACAAAGGAGTCTGGCGGGCTATAGTCTATAGGATCGCAAAGAGTCGGACATGACTGAAGCGACTTAACACACAGCACACAGTCCCATGGTTAATGATGTTGTATATCTTTTCGTGTGCTTATTGGCCCTTTGTCTATCTTTGGAGACATGTCTATTGAGATCCTTTGCCCATTTTTTGGTTGGATTATTTGTCTCTTCATCATTAAGTTGCAGTGGTTCTTTCCACATTCAAAGTGTATAAGTCCTTTATCAGATACACAGCTTGCAAATATGTTCTCCCATCCTATTGGCTGTCCTTTCACTTTCTTGATAGCATTCTTTGGAGCTTTTAATTGTGAAAAAGTCTTGTTTACCTATTTTTTTTCTTTTTTATTTTGTGCTGTAGTTATCATGTTTTGTAAGGATTGGTCACCCCTATGTCACAAATATACACTGTATTTTCTTCTATGAGTTTTACAGTTTTGGCTATTATATTTAGGCTTATGATTCATTTTGAGCTAATTTTTGTGTATAATGTGAGGGAAAGATTCAATTTCATTCCTTTGCATGAGGATATCCAGTTGTCCCAGGATCAATTACCCCCATTTTTAATGATACAATTCAATAAGTTTTAACAAATACACATGCTCACATCTCATTCCACCATCCCCACAATTTGCCTGTGACCATCTGCAGTCCATTTTCCCAACTCCAGTCCTGAAAGGTCTACTTTCAGTCACTATAGCTTCAGTTCAGTTCAGTTCAGTTGCTCAATCATGTCCAACTCTTTGCGACCCCATAAACTGCAGCACGCCAGGCCGCCCTGTCCATCACCAACTCCCAGAGCCTACCCAAACTCATGTCCATTGAGTCGGTAATGCCACCCAACCATCTCATCCTCTTGTCATCCGCTTCTCCTCCTGCCCTCAATCTTTCCCAGCATCAGTCTTTTCAAATGAGTCAGCTCTTTGCATCAGGTGGCCAAAGTATNTGGAGTTTCAGCTTCAGCATCAGTCCTTCCAATGAACACCCAGGGCTGATCTCCTTTAGGATGGACAGGTTGGATCTCCTTGCAGTCCAAGGGACTCTCAAGAGTCTTCTCCAACACCACAGTTCAAAAGCATCAGTTCTTCAGCGCTCAGCCTTCTTTATAGTCTGACTATCACATCCATACATGACTACTGGAAAAACCATAGCCTTGACTAGATGGACCTTTGTTGGCAAAGTGATGTCTCTGCTTTTTAATATGCTGTCTAGGTTGGTCATAACTTTCCTTCCAGTATAGCTTAGATTTGCCTTTTCTCTAATTTTATATAAATGGAATCACAGGATGTACTTTTCTGGGTCTGGCATCTGCCATTATATTTTTATCATTTAGCTCTCCTGTATGAGGATTCTTCAGAAAAACAGAACGAATAGAATGTGTGTGGGGTGGATGAGGGGAGAGAATCAATTTTAAGGAATTGGCTCACACAACTGTGGAGGCTGATAAGCACAAACTCTGAGACACAGGATGGCAGGCTAGAGACCCGGGGATCTAGGGAAGAGCTGGTGTTACAACTCAAGTCCAAAAGCAGTTTGCTGGCAGAATCCCCTCTTTTTTGGAGGAGGTCAGTCTTTCCCAATTAAGGCTTCTGACTGATTGGATGAGGCTCACTCACATTGTGGGAAGAATCTGCTTTTCTCAGAGTCCACTGATTTAAATGCTAATCTGTTCTTAAAAGAATATCTTCACAGCAATGTCTAGACTGGTATTTGATCAAATGTCAGTATCACAGTCTAACCAAATTGACACATCAAATTAACCATCCTGCCTCCCAGCAGACCTGTGAGGTGGACAATACCATTCCTATTTTGCAAGCTAGCAAACTGAGACCCAGGGCTTCCCAGGTGGCT